GTGGGACAGGTACGTGAAGGTGTACCTGTTGTTGTTGGGTGTGGGACAGGTACGTGAAGGTGTAGCTGCTGTTGTTGGGTGTGGGACAGGTACGTGAAGGTGTACCTGTTGTTGTTGGGTGTGGGACAGGTACGTGAAGGTGTACCTGTTGTTGTTGGGTGTGGGACAGGTACGTGAAGGTGTACCTGTTGTTGTTGGGTGTGGGACAGGTACGTGAAGGTGTACCTGTTGTTGTTGGGTGTGGGACAGGTACGTGAAGGTGTAGCTGCTGTTGGGTGTGGGCCAGGTACGTGAAGGTGTAGCTGCTGTTGGGTGTGGGACAGGTACGTGAAGGTGTAGCTGTTGTTGTTGTGTGCGGGACAGGTACGTGAAGGTGTACCTGTTGTTGTTGGGTGTGGGACAGGTACGTCAAGGTGTACCTGCTGCCGGACAAGTCCAAGCAGAGCAAGCGCAAGACCACAACGCAGAAGAACACGGTCAACCCGGTGTACAACGAGACGCTCAAGGTGCGTGGAGCGCACATCGCACCGGCGGTTACCGCCGGATATCGGCACCCCGGTTATCCGCAGGCCGGCTATCGGCACGCCGGTTACCCTGGGGGAGCCGAGTTTGATTCCCGCTCGCGGCCAACGCCGGTGACGATTGTCTGAGCCGGCGTGGCGCATCGCCGGCCCTCGCACGCCGCTGCGGCCTTCACAGGGACCCCGCTCCGCTAGCAGCACTTGCCTCAACCGTCCGTGAAGGCTGTACGGGGGATCTTTGTCTTCATAGGTTGCTGCTGCTGCTGTTGCTACTCGCTAACAGCACTTGCCCCAAGAGTATATTAAGGCTGTACGGGGGATCTTTATCTGTATAGGTGTTGCTGCTGCTACTCGCGAACAGCACTTGCCCCAACAGTATATTAAGGCTATACGGGGGGTCTTTGTCTTCATAGATGCTGCTGCTACTCGCTAGCAGCACTTGCCCCAAGAGTATATTAAGGCTATGTGGGGGATCTTTATCTTTATAGGTGCTGCTACTCACTAATAGCACTTGCCCCAAGAGTATATTAAGGCTATACGGGGGATCTTCGTCTTCATAGGTGCTGCTGTTGCTACTCACGAACAGCACTTGCCCCATGAGTATATTAAGGCTATGCGGGGGATCTTTATCTTCATAGGTGCTGCTGCTTACAGCACTTGCCCCAACAGTCTGTTAAGGCTATACGGGGGATCTTTGTCTTTATAGATGCTGCTGCTACTCGCTAGCAGCACTTGCCCCAAACAGCCTGTTAAGGCTATACGGGGGATCTTTGTCTTCATAGGGGCTACTCGCTACGAACAGCACTTGCCCCAACAGTCCGTCAAGGCTACACGGTGGCGGTGGCACCTTTGTCTTTGCGCGCAGTACACCATCTCGCAGTCGCAGCTGTCGACGCGCACGCTGCAGCTCGCTGTGTGGCACCACGACACGTTCGGGCGGAACGCCTTCCTGGGAGAGACGGAGATCAACATGGACACGTGGAACCTGGACAACACGGACGAGCAGTGGCTGCCCCTGCAACGCAAGGTGACCTCGGCGGGCCAGGAGATGTTGACTACCTCGCCTGGGACGCAGGAGGTCGTGGGTTCGATCCCAACCCGACGACGCCTGCTGCTGTATATTTTGAGTTTGCGTGTCTCTCTCTCTCTCATCATCATCACGGTAGCTAGGAGATGTTAACTACCTCGCCTGGGACGCAGGAGGTCGTGGGTTCGATCCCAATCCTGACGCCTGCTGTTGTATATTTTGAGTTTGCGTGTCTCTCTCTGTCTCATCATCATCACGGTGGCTAGGAGATGTTAACTACCTCGCCTGGTATGCAGAAGATTGTGGGTTCTATCCCGACCCCGACGATGCCTGCTGCTGTATATTTGGAGTTTGCGTGTCTCTCTCTCATCATCACAGTGGCTAGGAGATGTTAACTACCTCGCCTGGTACGCAAAAGATTGTGGGTTCTATCCCGACCCCGACGATGCCTGCTGCTGTATATTCGGAGTTTGCGTGTCTCTCTCTCATCATCATCATCACGGTGGCTAGGAGATGTTAACTACCTCGCCTGGCACACAGGAGGTCGTGGGTTCCATCCCGACCCCGACGACGCCTGCTGCTGTATATTCGGAGTTTGCGTGTCTCTCTCTCATCATCATCACGGTGGTTAGGAGATGTTAACTACCTCGCCTGGCACGCAGGAGGTCGTGGGTTCGATCCCAACCCTGACGCCTGCTGCTGTATATTTGGAGTTTGCGTGTCTCTCTCTCTCTCTCATCATCATCACGGTGGCTAGGAGATGTTAACTACCTCGCCTGGCCCGCAGGAGGTCGTGGGTTCGATCTGATATTGAGATTTGTTTACGTAATTCGAAACGCACTAACTTAGTCCGGCACTGTCGGGGTGTCAGTGCAGCATGACAGTTTCCTTCCCGGAGCCGAGTTGCTGCCGGTCGGACGGCAACGTCACCGGACGGAAACTTGCAAAACTTCGTAATTTGCAGTTTTGCAGAACTCCCCCCCGCCCTTTAGATTTAAAGCTTTCGTGACTGCAGGGATTCATATTCTTGGTTCTTTCGGTAAAGTCACCACGTAGAAGGGAAGTAATGAAATAATAAAAATAAAACATAATAAAATACAATTCTCACGACGTTTCGGCCACAACGCAAGCAGCCGTCCTCGGGTGAAGACCAGGTCTGTCGGGGAGAATTATTTTGTGATGTTTTATTTTTATTATTTTATTACTTCCCTTCTACGTGGTGACTTTACCGAAAGAACCAAGAAGAAGATCCCCCCCGCCGCCCCTTGCAATGTTGCTGTTTGTTGTTTACTCAACGGTCTTCTGTCTGCGTGTTGTTGTTGTTTGTTGTTGTTGTTGTGGTGGTTGTGGCCTGGCCTTAGTCCCATGCCCAGGCGGGTGGCATTCCCCAGTACAAGGGCGAGCTCACGGTGTCTCTCAAGTACGTGCCTGCCCATCTCGTCCCCGAGGAGAAGCCAGTCGGTAAAATGTTTTACATTTTTTTTTAAACATTAAGGATGAACGAAACTTTTCATCGTGTTTTACTGGGGTGAGCGCACAAGCCCCCGTCCGCTACAACGCGCGCCGGCGGTGTCTGCAGGGAAGGGGAACTTGCGTGCGCCTTGTACGAGTCTCCGCGTGGGGTCGAAAACAACATCGCTACTCAATGCTCACGCTGAGGGAGCTTCCTCTGATGGGGGGCAAGAGCGTGGGAGGGGGGGGTAGAAAGTGGAAAGTTAAGAAACTATTTTATGTTATTAGATTTTCGCGCGACACAATAACAAAGGGCCGCAGCAGAACGTTGGGTTGCGTTCCGATTGATGACATCCGGGGAATCACCAACTATTGTCTAAACTTTTTTGTTACTTTTACCAGGTTAGACCCTGCTGAGCTTCGCGGCTGTCTTCCAGAAGCCCCCTGTCCATCGCAAACGATAGCCCGTCAAAGTAGCCTTATTGTAATTCGTGTGGACAATTTTTAGCAGCAGCCTAACAACTCTTAAAAACACGTGATCTCGTTGATTCTTAATGCGGGGAGGGGTAAACCAAAGGACCCTGATAAAAATCCACGTCACCACGGGGAGCCAGAGAGAGACACGCAAACTCCACATGTACAGCAGCAGGTGTAAGGGTCGGGATCGAACCCACGACCTCCTGCATACCAAGCGAGGTAGTTAACATCTAGCCACCGTACGGGTAGGGTACGGGTACGGCCAGGTACGGGTACGGGTACCCGTTTGCGACCCTGGTGCGGCCGGGTACGGGCACGGGTAAGGAATCAAAACCCACTTGCGACCTCTGGCGCTGACACGTCCCCTTGTCGCATCCGATCGCATCACTGTTCTTGTAGCAGTGCTGTTATTGCGCGCCGTGTCGTTGTAACCGGTTCTCGTTGTTGTTGTTGTCGTCGTTGTTGTTGTTGTTGTCATCGCAGCTGAGAGCCGCTTGAAGAGGACCCTGCGCAGGAAGCAGGCGAGCGCGCAGGCGGCGGGCGGAGAGATCCACGTGCTGGTGAAGGAGGCGCGCAACCTGTGCCCCCTGAAGCCGGGCGGCACCGTCAACTCCTTCGTCAAGGCGTACGTGTGTGTGTGTGTACGCGTGTGTGTGTACGCGTGTGTGTGTACGTGTGTGTGTGTGTACGTGTGTGTGTGTGTACGTGTGTGTGTGTACACGTGTGTGTGTGTACGTGTGTGTGCACGTGTGTGTGTGTGTACGTGTGTGTGTGTACGTGTGTGTGTGTACGTGTGTGTGTGTACGTGTGTGTGTACGTGTGTGTGTACGTGTGTGTGTGTGTACGTGTGTGTGTGTGTACGTGTGTGCGTGTGTGTGTGTGTGTACGTGTGTACGTATGTGTGTGTGTGTACGTGTGTGTGTGTATGCGTGTGTGTGTACGCGTGTGTGTGTACGCGTGTGTGTGTACGCGTGTGTGTACGTGTGTGTGTGTGCGTGTGTGTACGTGTGCGTGTGTGTACGTGTGTGTGTGTACGTGTGTGTGTGTGTACGTGTGTGTGTGTACGTGTGTGTGCGTGTGTGTGTACGTGTGTGTGTACGTGTGTGTGTACGTGTGTGTACGTGTGTGTGTGCGTGTGTACGTGTGTGTGTACGTGTGTGTGGGGAGCGGTAGTGTAGCGGTTAGCGCGCTGCGCTATGAACCTGGCGATCCGGGTTCGATTCCCGCTCACGGCTAACACCAGTGACGATTATCTGAACCGGTCCTGGGCCTCCCCTAGGTCGACTCAGCCTTAAATGAGTACCTGGTGCGGTGTGTAAACATCGCCACTAGGGAGACAAAGGCGGTCGGGCGTGGTGCTGGCCACCCACCCCCTCGTGTACCGTTCCGGCCTTCATAGGTGCTCGCTAACAGCACTTGCCCCTACAGTCTGTTCAGGCTATACGGGGGATCTTTGTCTTTGTGTACGTGTGTGTGTACGTGTGTGTTTGTATGTGTGTGTGTACATGTGTGTGCGTGTGTGTACGTGTGTGTGTGTACGTGTGTATGTGTGTGTATGCGTGCGTGTACATGTGTGTGTACGCGTGTGTGTGTGTACGCGTGTGTACGCGTGTGCGATCGCACGATGCCCCCGATTCGTAACAACGCGCGCGTGCGGCAAAACCATTTACCGTCCGACGTCGAACGCACCAAACTTACTCGCCCCACCCCCCCTCACCCCCCACTCCCCCTCACCCCCCCGCAGCTCCCTGCTGCCCGTGGACCCCAAGGGCACGCGGCAGAAGACTGCGGTGGCGAAGCAGAAGGTGAGCCCCGTGTGGGGCGAGACGCTGGTGCTGCGGGGGGTGGCGCCGCACGAGCTGGCCCAGCGGGCGCTGGAGCTCACCGTGTGGGACAAGGAGAACATCGCCAGCAAGCACTTCCTGGGCGGCGTGCGCCTGGGCATGGGCACCTCCGGTGGGTGACGCCCCCTAGACACCTAGCACATAGCCCTAGCCCATAACCCTAGCCCTACCACCTAGCCCTAGCCCTACCGCCTAGCCCTACCGCCTAGCCCTAGCTCATACCCCTACAACCTAGCCCATACCTGGGCATGGGCACCTCCGGTGGGTGACACCCCCTAGACACCTAGCACATAGCCCTAGCACATAGCCCATAGCCCTACCACCTAGCCCTACCACCTAACCCTAGCTCATACCCCTACAACCTAGCCCATACCTGGGCATGGGCACCTCCGGTGGGTGACGCCCCCTAGACACCTAGCACGTAGCCCTAGCCCTAGCACCTAGCACATAGCCCTAGCCCATACCACTAGCCCTACACGTACCACGTACCCCTCCATCCACTCTCCCTCCCATCCCCTACCTCCCCTTCTTGCCTCCACATCAAGCAACATCCTCCTCACCCCTCTCACCCTCCTCCTCCTCATGCTCGTCCCTCTCCCCTCCTCTCTCGAGCCTAACACGGCGGTGGTGGTGGTGGTGGTGGCAGTGGTGGTGGTGGTGGTGGCGGTGGTGGTGGTGGCGGTGATGGTGGCGGTGGTGATGGTGGCGGTGGTGATGGTGGCGTTTGTGACGGTGTTGACATTGGTGGCGGTGGTGATAGCTGTGGTGGCGGTGGTGGCGGTGGTGGCAGTGGTGGTGGTGGTGGCGATATTGGTGGCGGTGGTGGCGGTTGTGACGGTGGTGACGGTGGTAGTGGTGGTGGTGAGAGCAGTGGTAGCTGTGACGGTCGTAGTGACGGCGGTGGTGGTGGTGGTGGTAGCGGTGGTGGTGGCTGTGACAGCGGTGGTAGCTATGACGGTGGTGGTGGTGGCAGTTGTGACGGTTGTGGTGACGTTGGTGGCGGTGGTGGTGGAGGTAGCTGTGACGGCGGTGGTGACGGTGGTGGTGGTGGTGGAGGTGGTGGTGGTGGTGGCAGTGGCGGTGGAGGTGATGGCGGTGGTGACGGTGGTGGCGGTGGTGGTGACGGTGGTGGTGACGGTGGTGGTGACGGTGACGGTGACGGTGGTGACGGTGACGGTGGTGACGGTGGTGGTGGTGACGGTGGTGGTGACGGTGGTGGTGGCGCTCGTTGCAGGCGAGTACGCGGGGACTCCCGTGGACTGGATGGACTCGCAGGGGGAGGAGGTGGCCGTCTGGGAGGACATGTGCAGCAACCACGAGGCGGGCGACCACCAGGCCTGGGCAGAGGCCTGCCTGCTGCTGCGCCCAGACATGGCCAAGCACTGAGACCCCCCCCCACCACACACCTACAACCCCCCACCACCCCGTCCCCCCCCACCTCCCCCCCCCCACCTCCGCCCCCACCTCCACCCCCACCTCTTCCCACACCGGCGTTCACCGTCTCCGGCCGGCTCGACGTGCCACAACCGTGCCGCGTGTCTGCCAAACCGGCGGTGGCTCAGCAGCTGCTGCTGCTGCAGCTGCTGCTGCGGCTGCTGCTGGTGCTGCTGCTACTGCTGCTGCAGGTGCTGCTACAGCTGCTACAGCTGCTGCAGCTGCTGCTGCTGTGGCTGCTGGCCCACGTGGCCAGCCGAGCTAATCGGAGGTGCCGGGGGGGGAAGGACAAGAAACTAAACACAACAAGCAGCAGTTGTAAATAAATGAGTTTTCCAAGAGCAGTTCTTAAAAGAAATGAGTTTTGACTCGGCCCATCATCCATCCCTCTCTACAGGGGGGGGGGCGATAAAATAGGGTACCACTTTGTGGAACCGCGGGCCTGGTGGCTCTGGTAGTGGTTTGGGGAGGGTGAGTGGGGGGTTGACTCGGCAGGCCCCATCATCCCTCCCTCCGCGGTCGATAAAATAGCTACCACTTTGTGGGGGGGGGGGGGTCGATGGCAGTCGTGCGCTGTGGATGTACTCCCCCCCCCCCCGCCATAGGAATGTGGAATTTCCACCACCAGTTCTGCAGGAGCCACGTACACAGGCGAAGCGTCGTCTGACCTCTTGATAAGGAAGCGAAACATTTGCCGAGCAAACTTGTTTTTGCGCGGAAGTTTTTACGGCGTATATTTTCCCCATTCCTTTTATTTACATTCTCCGTTCGAAAGATGCTTTTTAACAAACCCCCCAAAAAACGAGGCCACCCAAATTTATCGTTCGGTGCCGATGCCGGAAATATTTTCTCTTCGGTTTGTTTTAAATTGTAGGGGCGATGAAGCCGCTGCGACGAATGATTGTTTTTTTAAAGTTGCGCGCACGGGCGATGCGGGCGATGCGGGCGATGCGGGCGATGCGCACACACACGTAAGCCTCCTCGTGTCAATCCACTGCTGGATGACGGGAGGTCTCCGTCACGCCGCGTCGGCCGTGGCCGCACTTCCAGCGCGCCGGCGGCGGGGACGCGGGCGGCGTGGCAGTCAACAGATTCGGGTCGCCTCTCGTGACGCGAGGAGCTGCCTGGGCCACGGGAGGGGATCCCGCGTGAGAGAGAGAGAGAGGGAGAGGCACCGCACGAGGGGTTCAGGAGGCCGGAGGAGTCCGACGCTTCTCGCTCGGGGACCCTATGGGGCGCCACGCTGGCGGGGAGATGTTGACTGCCTCGCCTGGTATGCGGGAGGTCGTGGGTTCGATCCCGAGCCTGACGCCTGCTGCTGCTGTATATTTGGAGTTTGCGTCTCTCTCTCTTTCTCTCTCTGCCCGTGGATTTTTTTCTCCGGGTCCTCCGGTTTTTCCCTCCACTGCGTTTGGAGTATTTGGCTGCTTTCAATTTCAGATTTGAAGCTTTCGTGACTGCAAGGATTCATATTCTTAGGTTTTTTCGGTAAAGTCACGTAGGTAAAAAATTAAAATTAATAAAAGTAAAATAAAATAAAAATCACGACGTTTCGGAGGCAACACAAGCTTCCGTCTTCAGGTGGAACCGTCACAGCACGATAGCTGTATCAAGTGAGAGAAATATATATACATGGACTGTTTTCTTGGAATTTCTCTCACTTGACACAGCTATCGTGCTGTGACGGTTCCACCTGACGACGGAAGCTTGTGTTGCCTCCGAAACGTCGTTTTATTTTTTTATTTTACTTTTATTAATTTAAATTTTTTACCTACGTGACTTTACCGAAAAAAACCTCAGAATATGCTTTCAATTTCCACGCGACGATTGTCGAGCCACTTGGTGGAGCTGCCATCTGTGGCCAGTTCACTTCTGAATGAGAGCTACAACGCTCAGTGGGAGGCCTTAACCTGTCAAAATAAAAGAGTTCATAGCCGTGTCGATGATGAATCGATTAATCGATAACGACGAACAATCGACCCGTACGCCCGCAGCGAGCGATGTGGAAATCGCGCGTCTTGAACGTTGATTCCCGGGCCGGTTATTTCCGATCCGCTGCCGCTGATTCACGACGGCGATGACCGGCGGCGATGTGCGCCCAGTGGCGGAGCGACGACATCGACTCGGTGTGTGTCAAGTTGGGGCACCCAACATCGCGATTTGTCTCGCACGGCCCGACCCAGGCGGTTCATACACCGCGCGACCTCCTCCTGCCCCGCATCGTCGTTACGCTCGCGGTTCTCGGCACTTGCCCCAGCAGTCTGTTGAGGCTACACCGGGGGGCAGGGGGATCTTTGTCTTGTTTGTGTGTTGGTGCAGGGGGCGGTACAGGTGGTGGTGAGTCTGCCATTGACCTGCGGGTCGAATAACTCGAAGCAGCGAAGGGCATCGCTGCCTTCAGTTAGTCGTCCTTTCCCCCGGCACCTCCGATTAGCGCGGTCGTCAACGTACGGTGCGGAATATCACAAGATGCACAGTCTCGGTTTAAAGCTTTCGTGACTGCAGGGATTCATCTTCTTGGTTCTTTCGGTAAAGTCACGTAGAAGGGAAGTAATAAAATAATGAAAATAAAACATAATTTTCGATTTAAATCTTTCGTGACTGCAGGGATTCATCTTCTTGGTTCTTTCAGTAAAGTCACGTAGAATGGAATTTCTTTTGTCAAGGCGCTCTTCCCCCCTCCATCCCAGCTTAAATAGTCGCTCCAAGCCTGGGGGTGTGTCATTCAGACTCTGTCTACTCGACAGACCTGCTCACCACCTGAGGACGGCTGCTTGCGTTGTGCCCGAAACGTCGTGATAATTATTTTATCATGTTTTATTTTTATTATTTTATTACTTCCCTTCTACGTGACTTTACCGAAAGAACCAAGAAGATGAAGCACAGTGTCCCGTAGACATCGGTTCAACATCCGTGCGTGATTTGTGCCCGCTGAAAACCTCCACTCTGTACAAATGAAAGTTGTACCACTGAGTGTCTTCGACCATCAACTTTTGCACCGTGTGGACTTTGTCCGACGTTTTATTTAAAGCCTCTCTCGTTCGCTCTGCCCCATCTTCTCTGGGACATTGACGCCGCCAAACTGACCGACGGAATGAAAATGGTTTACGCACTCCGCCGTCGGCTTTTAAACACGACTGTTGTTTGTTAGCATCCACGCGTTACATATGTGGGTTATCGTTTAGATGTTTATATATATATACGTGTGTATACTGTGTATCTAAATAAAGATTAACTGACACTTATGATTATTTTGCCGACCGGTTCACTTGTAACGATGTCATCTCGTAACACCTCGCCCCTCTGGGAGATGTTGACTATCTCGCCTGGTACACAGGAGGTCGTGGGTTCGATCCCTACCCCTGACGCCTGCTGCTGTGTATTTGGAATTTGCGTGTCTCTCTCTCATCATCATCACGGTGGCTAGGAGATGTTGACTACCTCGCCAGGTATACAGGAGGTCGTGGGTTCGATCCCGACCCCTGACGCCTGCTGCTGTGTATTTGGAGTTTGCGTGTCTCTCTCTCATCATCATCACGGTGGCTAGGAGATGTTGACTACCTCGCATGGTATACAGGAGGTCGTCGGTTTGATCCCGACCCCTGACGCCTGCTGCTGTGTATTTGGAGTTTGCGTGTCTCTCTCTCATCATCATCACGGTGGCTAGGAGATGTTGACTACCTCGCATGGTATACAGGAGGTCGTCGGTTTGATCCCGACCCCTGACGCCTGCTGCTGTGTATTTGGAGTTTGCGTGTCTCTCTCTCATCATCATCACGGTGGCTAGGAGATGTTGACTACCTCGCATGGTATACAGGAGGTCGTCGGTTTGATCCCGACCCCTGACGCCTGCTGCTGTGTATTTGGAGTTTGCGTGTCTCTCTCTCATCATCATCACGGTGGCTAGGAGATGTTGACTACCTCGCATGGTATACAGGAGGTCGTCGGTTTGATCCCGACCCCTGACGCCTGCTGCTGTGTATTTGGAGTTTGCGTGTCTCTCTCTCATCATCATCACGGTGGCTAGGAGATGTTGACTACCTCGCATGGTATACAGGAGGTCGTCGGTTTGATCCCGACCCCTGACGCCTGCTGCTGTGTATTTGGAGTTTGCGTGTCTCTCTCTCATCATCATCACGGTGGCTAGGAGATGTTGACTACCTCGCATGGTATACAGGAGGTCGTCGGTTTGATCCCGACCCCTGACGCCTGCTGCTGTGTATTTGGAGTTTGCGTGTCTCTCTCTCATCATCATCACGGTGGCTAGGAGATGTTGACTACCTCGCATGGTATACAGGAGGTCGTCGGTTTGATCCCGACCCCTGACGCCTGCTGCTGTGTATTTGGAGTTTGCGTGTCTCTCTCTCATCATCATCACGGTGGCTAGGAGATGTTGACTACCTCGCATGGTATACAGGAGGTCGTCGGTTTGATCCCGACCCCTGACGCCTGCTGCTGTGTATTTGGAGTTTGCGTGTCTCTCTCTCATCATCATCACGGTGGCTAGGAGATGTTGACTACCTCGCATGGTATACAGGAGGTCGTCGGTTTGATCCCGACCCCTGACGCCTGCTGCTGTGTATTTGGAGTTTGCGTGTCTCTCTCTCATCATCATCACGGTGGCTAGGAGATGTTGACTACCTCGCATGGTATACAGGAGGTCGTCGGTTTGATCCCGACCCCTGACGCCTGCTGCTGTGTATTTGGAGTTTGCGTGTCTCTCTCTCATCATCATCACGGTGGCTAGGAGATGTTGACTACCTCGCATGGTATACAGGAGGTCGTCGGTTTGATCCCGACCCCTGACGCCTGCTGCTGTGTATTTGGAGTTTGCGTGTCTCTCTCTCATCATCATCACGGTGGCTAGGAGATGTTGACTACCTCGCATGGTATACAGGAGGTCGTCGGTTTGATCCCGACCCCTGACGCCTGCTGCTGTGTATTTGGAGTTTGCGTGTCTCTCTCTCATCATCATCACGGTGGCTAGGAGATGTTGACTACCTCGCATGGTATACAGGAGGTCGTCGGTTTGATCCCGACCCCTGACGCCTGCTGCTGTGTATTTGGAGTTTGCGTGTCTCTCTCTCATCATCATCACGGTGGCTAGGAGATGTTGACTACCTCGCATGGTATACAGGAGGTCGTCGGTTTGATCCCGACCCCTGACGCCTGCTGCTGTGTATTTGGAGTTTGCGTGTCTCTCTCTCATCATCATCACGGTGGCTAGGAGATGTTGACTACCTCGCATGGTATACAGGAGGTCGTCGGTTTGATCCCGACCCCTGACGCCTGCTGCTGTGTATTTGGAGTTTGCGTGTCTCTCTCTCATCATCATCACGGTGGCTAGGAGATGTTGACTACCTCGCATGGTATACAGGAGGTCGTCGGTTTGATCCCGACCCCTGACGCCTGCTGCTGTGTATTTGGAGTTTGCGTGTCTCTCTCTCATCATCATCACGGTGGCTAGGAGATGTTGACTACCTCGCATGGTATACAGGAGGTCGTCGGTTTGATCCCGACCCCTGACGCCTGCTGCTGTGTATTTGGAGTTTGCGTGTCTCTCTCTCATCATCATCACGGTGGCTAGGAGATGTTGACTACCTCGCATGGTATACAGGAGGTCGTCGGTTTGATCCCGACCCCTGACGCCTGCTGCTGTGTATTTGGAGTTTGCGTGTCTCTCTCTCATCATCATCACGGTGGCTAGGAGATGTTGACTACCTCGCATGGTATACAGGAGGTCGTCGGTTTGATCCCGACCCCTGACGCCTGCTGCTGTGTATTTGGAGTTTGCGTGTCTCTCTCTCATCATCATCACGGTGGCTAGGAGATGTTGACTACCTCGCATGGTATACAGGAGGTCGTCGGTTTGATCCCGACCCCTGACGCCTGCTGCTGTGTATTTGGAGTTTGCGTGTCTCTCTCTCATCATCATCACGGTGGCTAGGAGATGTTGACTACCTCGCATGGTATACAGGAGGTCGTCGGTTTGATCCCGACCCTGACGCCTGCTGCTGTGTATTTGGAGTTTGCGTGTCTCTCTCTCATCATCATCACGGTGGCTAGGAGATGTTGACTACCTCGCATGGTATACAGGAGGTCGTGGGTTCGATCCCGACCCCTGACGCCTGCTGCTGTATATTTGGAGTTTGCGTGTCTCTCTCTCTTGCCGCGCGGTCGCGCGTTTTTTTGCCGGATTGTCCCTGCACATTTAGAATCAACATGCGGTTAGATTATTTGGCTGCTACTATAAATGACCACGTGATGATGATTATGATAAAAGCCACTTCGTTGAGCTATCATTTGTGGCCAGGCCGCATCTGAAAACGAGCTAAAAGTTTAGTTGGCTTCACCTGGTAAAATAAAAAAAATCGTTTAGGGTTTGGTTTTAATTTCAACTCGAAAATTACATCGCAAAATTACTCAATTTGTCCACTGCAAAATTACGAAATGTTTGACTCAATTGGGATGAAACGTAGAGCAGCAGCAACTGGCACAGCCTCATGTGCACAGTCACTCTTGCAAATGAGATGCTGCCTGGATATGAAAAAAATAAGTATAACCCGTAAAAACAAAGTTTTTCACTCTAAATCCTTTATATGCGTGGCGGCTAGAGTCCTCTCGTCCTCTGGCTTGAGATGGCTGCCACCTATGGGTCAGATGATTGTCTGCCAGTATTAAGCAATTGGTAATTAAATATTTAATTTTTTTTCCCTAAACAGTGTAAAATTTTTGAAAAAAATTTTCACGAACATTAATTGTCTCGCACAACGAGTCTGTGTGCAAAATGTCAGCTCGATTGGATCACGGGAAGTGGGTTAAAAAACGACCGAAAGATTTGCACGGTCGTAAGCAAGCAAGCACGCAAGCAAGCGAACTTAATATAAAGGATTTAAAAACAATGAAACTTAATCGTGACTAGCGTGGTGAAGTATGGTCAAACGACCGTGTCCGTAACTCGAAACGGCACTGAGCACGGTTGAGCTTTATCCAGCAGTGGATGGATGATTGTTGTCATTCATAATCAACGGGCAATCATTCAAAGTCGACTTCAACGAAACAACGAGCAAAAGGGTTTACGTTGGGAGTTTTACAGGTAGGAACAATATGTTCCACACTGCCCACCAGGGATTATTTGTCTGTCTGAATGTCTGTCGTGCATAAATATATATATAATATAAACAGCTATTTGATTGGTGGAGACCTACTGCAGGGTACGGAGAGGGGAGGGGCCTAAGGATATGGGGGGGGGGTGGTCAGGGGAGGGGCCTAAGGGAGGGGGGAGCCAGGAGAGGGGCCTGAGGGGGGGGGGGTCAGAGGGGAGGGGCCTGATGATATGGGGGGGGGGGGTGCTCAGGGGAGGGGCCTAAGGGAGGGGGGGGGTAAGGGGAGGTGCCTAAGCAAGGGGGCTGTCTGCCTGGCTACCTCAAGTCAAGTTATCTTGTATACATACAGGTAGGAACAACAGGTTCCACACTGCTGCCCACCAGGGATTATTTGTCTGTCTGTCGTGCACGAATGCGCTGTCCAACCAAGTTCCTACCTGCCCACTCCGAAGGAACGTGTTATTGGCAATGATTGAGTCGGAACACGCATGGACATATATACATGAAGTTGACATGGCAGAGATGTTGACTACGGGGTGAGAGAGAGAGAGAGAGATCACTGCCATGTAATTCATCGGTGAGTCCATGATTTGGGTTTATTTTTGGGCTTAGATCGCGTCAATGTATAATAGCACAGCACACAGGCTAGTGTGTTGGAGAGAACATCCACAACATTTACAATCCGACGTTTTGCCAGAAATTGCAACGAGCAGCATCAGGCGGACAGCCAAATCTGTCCGACAAATTTCCTCTCCAACACGCAACCGGTGTTGCTGTACTCGTGACGCGTAGCCACACCCCTACCACCTAGCCCATACCCCTACCACCTAGCCCATAGCCCTACCACCTAGCCCACACCCCTACCACCTAGCCCTAGCCCCTACCACCTAGCCCATACCCCTACCACCTAGCCCACACCCCTACCACCTAGCCCACACCCCTACCACCTAGCCCATACCCCTACCACCTAGCCCTACCACCTAACCCTACCCCCTACCACCTAGCCCACACCCCTACCACCTAGCCCTACCACCTAGCCCTACCCCCTACCACCTAGCCCACACCCCTACCACCTAGCCCTACCACCTAGCCTTAGCCCATACCCCTACCACCTAGCCCATACCCAGCCAAATCTGTCC